TCCTGCCTTCCTTGCATGTTTTTAGTCCAACCTTTCTTCTCCACCTGTACAGCATTTGCTCCCCTCCTCTCCTCCTCACCTTAACCCAGCTCTTTACAATGCATGTCTGTCCTCTCCCTGTCCCCGCAGTGCAAAGAACTCTTCCACCTCAAGACTCTAAGAAATCCACTGAAGAATCTTTCTGCTCTTCACCTGCCCATTTACTCTCCCACCACTGTTAAGGACGGCTGCTTTAACCATCACAAGACACAGCATTTGCTCCCCTCCTCTCCTCCTCACCTTAACCCAGCTCTTTACAATGCATGTCTGTCCTCTCCCTGTCCCCGCAGTGCAAAGAACTCTTCCACCTCAAGACTCTAAGAAATCCACTGAAGAATCTTTCTGCTCTTCACCTGCCCATTTACTCTCCCACCACTGTTAAGGACGGCTGCTTTAACCATCACAAGACAGAACCAGAGCACACCAGCAGAACAGCTCCAGTAAGTCAATTTTATCAGCCACATTTCACCCACAACAAGTGCAGTCAGGCTAGGTCTGCAAAAGATGACAGCTGTCCCTGAGCTCCAAGCTGTAAGGAAATTGTCTTCTCCTTTTGCACCAGCACTGTTCCACACACAGAGTGCCCAGAGGCATGGACACTGCCTGCCCATAAATCAAAGCTTGCAGGTGACTGAAGTCACATCCTGACATCACTTAATGAATGGCTGGCTGACAGTTGCCAAAAAATCAAACTCAAACCCAAGAAATTCTGCAGCTTTTTTTCTTAATGTCATCCATATTGGGCAAACACAAGATAACAGATATTCCAAACAATGAACATCATTAATAAGATGGAGATGTCCCAGTTCAAAGTCAGCCCCAGGTGAGCTGTAACAAAGACACTCTGAAGGCTGATAAATAACTTAGGGACTACACAGCTTTCTTTACTTAAAATGTCTTCAGTTGTCAAGGCCAGGTGACACTCCTGAAGCAAGCTAGGAAGCACCCTTGAGATCTGTTCTTCAAACAGCACTTTACAACCATGACTGCATGCAGAGAAGACATCAGTCTTACAGGCTGTTGCTCCCTACAACTTCTAAAGATCACAGACACAACCAGACGCAAGCATGCGGAGTTTCAGAAAGAAAATGAAAAAGGTAAAGTTGTATCAACATTTGATGTAGGAACACTCACCCACTTCTCAATTTTAACTTTAAAAAAACCCCCAACTAACCAACCACGCATACAGCAACCAACGAACCCACCCCATAATATTGTAAAAGCTTTTGGCAGCAAATACTTTGGGTTAAGGGCTACTAAAGCTGGGAACCCCAGTACTTCTCCTAAAGCAGTAGGAATTGCCCAGAGCAAATGAACTACAAGTCCTATTACTAACTCCAGTAGGTCTTAAAAGCAACATATGAGCATTCAGCACCTATTCAATAAACTATTACCACTGAGAAAAAACTCGCCCTAGTTTTCAGCTAGCAGTCATCTTCAGTTCCTGAAGTTTAATATATAGTCCTTGGCTCAACCAGCAGGGGAGAGAAAATAAATGCCAGGAAGAGGACAGCAAATTCCAGTAGTATTTGAGACCTCTGCGCAGAAGCTGCAGTCCTCTGCTACCAGCTTTCTCAAGTTTGCAGTAAAAAGTTGACCCATTTGGTTTTTCTGAAATACCCATCTGTATTAACACGAGCTCCTTCACTGCTGGCAATTGCACCAGCAGCTCACGAACATTCTCCTCTTCGTCTCTGGAAGGATCATTTACCACATCTGCATCCCAGCTTTGCTGCTGTCCAGATTCCTTCTCTGAGCACTCCGCTGTTCTGGCGTTACATTAATTCACTTTAGATACATTATCTCTATTAACCACTCTTGTTATACAGAATGACAGACCAGACAAGGTTGGAAGGGGCCCTGGGACGCCTCCTTCTGGTCCAATGCCCTGCTCAGAGCAGGATCAGCCAGCAGGTTGCTCAGGGATGTCCAGTTTTGAGTACTGAAAAGGACAGAGACACTACAACCTCTCTGGGAAACCTACCCCAAAGTGTCTGACCTGGCATGCATTTTTATTTTTTGTCCTTATGTTTAAATAGAATTTCTGCATATCAGGCGCTTTGCCTCTCCATCTGTCCCAGGGCACCACTGAGAAGTGCCTGGATTCATCTTCACTACCCTCTCAAGGCATCTATCACATGGGATAAGGTGCCCCAGAGCCTCCTCTCCTCCAGGTTGAACTCCAAACAGCTCACATTCTCCAAACCCTTCAGCACCTTCATGGCTCTTCACTGCACTTCCAGTGTGTCCATATCCCTCTTGTACTGGGGAGCCCAGGACTGTACCCAGCACTCCAGCTGCGGCCTCCACAGTGCTGAGGAGAGAAGGATCATCTCTTGGACCTGCAGGTGATGTGATGCTGCTCCTGATGTAGCTCTGGAGAGACTGTTGGCCTCCCTTGCTGCACGAGCACACTAGACTTAAAAAGCTTTGCATGTCTTGAAAAGTTTTGTGCACACTCAGTTTCTCACCCACTCAAGAAATCAGGCCATGTGCAATACAGATGACAGCAGAGCAGCCAAGAACACTGAAAGCTTGATTCTCTGAATACATAGCTTCTGAAATTAAGCTCAGGTTTTTCAATACAATAGTGAAAATAATGTAGTTAAACCTGTATTTCTACATTCAAATAAAGACTGTTTTCAGAAAAGCAGAAAGCACAGAAGGCTCATCTGAGAATAGTAACATTAAAGCTATTAAGGATACAAGTTACATTATTAATGCCACCAATACCCCATTTAATACTTCAACACTTAACCATTTCTGGTCTGTACAATACAGAGCCCTGTTACCTGAAAACTCCCATTTCTAGAATAGGGAAATACACATTTCCCTTGTGTCTCCAGAAGGAAATGACAGAAGTAATCTTTAAAAGCAGAAACCTGCAGTTATTATACTTGCTAGACCTTCAAGGTTTTTTACCTGTGCAAAAAAATTACCTCCCATATGAATACCAAAACAGATCACAAGGAAGTTAACAACTAACACAGACAAGCTTGTATTCTGCAGTTGCCCTTTCGTGACACAGGGTAAGGTGGATTTATTCAGTTTATTCTAAAAGGGATTTGTTCAGCAAGGCTGAAGGCTCAAAATCTACCATGCAAGGCCCAAAGCAACATTTGAAGTACTTGACTAGTAACACAGCTGCTTTATTTGAGAAAGATGACCTGTAACATTTGCAAACTGCTGGATAGAGAAAGTAAATGCAAGGAAGAAGTTTGATTTGGTATTCACACTTACGAGCAAGTTGAAGCTTTTGTGAACACTGGAAGGAGTTCAGAGATGGCAAGAGGGAAGGAAAACAATAAACTGCACAGCTCAAGCTTAAGTCTTGTCACCAACAAGGAACTGGATGAAGAAAAAAATACTAAACAAAACCAAACACAGCACTTCTCTTAAGTCCATCCAGAATATAATTAAAAAAAAAAATTTCTCACTCTTACCCAATTTAAGCATAGACATACCCCAAATTACTGTTTACTACTTGCAACTGATCCCAACAGGAATAATTGAGCAGACCTCATGACAGGCCAGGTACTTCACAAGTCAAATTGAAAGAGCAGGGCAAATCCCAAAGCACTGGAAGAGAGATGCAACACACACAACCTTCAGTTTATCTTGGGCAGGAC